AAATTATTTATAATTTATACCAGTTTATAAACAAAGAAAGTCATACTAAAAATTTCCTTAATAGCAAAAAATACAGAGAACTTATTTAATTTAAAATTCGCGGTAAAAGAATTAGAAAGAAACTCAAAAAAATGCGAGAAGGAAGAGAAGATAGAGAAGACAAAGATCAAGAAGGCCATACAAAAGGGTAATATGGAGGGTGCTCGCATTCATGCAGAAAATGCAATTCGACAGAAGAATCAAGCCTTGAATTATCTTAGAATGAGCGCCAGAGTAGATGCAGTAGCTAGTAGAGTGCAGACTGCATTGACAACTCGCAAAGTTACTCAATCCATGGCTGGTGTTGTCAAAGCCATGGATGCTGCTATGAAATCAATGAACTTAGAGAAGATCTCTGGACTTATGGACAAATTTGAGAGTCAATTTGAGGACCTGGATGTGCAAAGTTCATACATGGAGAACGCTATGTCGCAAACCACAACTACTAATGTACCCCAGAATGATGTTGATTCTCTGATGCAGCAAGTTGCAGACGAAGCTGGGTAAGAATCTACTTCTAATTGTTATTTCAAGTTTTTTATTATTAAGTAAAGAGCTTAAATTCCTGTCTTATATATAATGCAAAGAGGAATTATTTTAAATATTATTTAAAGCAACAAAAACTTTTATTTCTTTGAACTGTACTTAAAAAAATTTATTGGATAGTTATAAAATTACCTGACTTTATTTTTGTGCAGATTGGAATTGAACATGGAACTTCCATCGGGTCAACTTGGCAGTATTGGCACTTCAACAGCAGTAAGCCAGGAGCAAGATGAATTAACACAGAGATTAGCACGACTTAGAGAATAGTGAAACTGCTTTAATGTATATTATAATTGAGGTATTTTATAAATTATGTAATATATTCCCAATATTGTTATAATTATTATGGTGTCTTATGACCGGAATTAGGGATGCACCGGATCGTAAAATCTGATATCAGATATCCAAAATATTGTAACATCGAACATCTGGGAAGAAAAGTTTTCAAGTCGAATATCCAATATTTTCTGGATATCCGACCGAATTCCGAGACAATGTCTTAAAAAAGCTGAGTAAAACAAGAAAAAAGAGAGCAAAACGAAAAAGCGACTGTGAGAAAAAAATAGTGATAATAATTATGATTTTAATGTTATCGTTCGAGTTCGATTATCAATAGAGATGATAACTATAGAGAAAAACATTGTGATTTTGCAGCAATATATAAGACAGCATTGTGAGTATGCATATTTATTTACAGAACATTTATATAATAAAAAATCAATTTAATGATATAAAATTTCAACTGGATATATTCTCGGATATTAACGATATCCGACTATCCGATCGGATAGTAAAAAAGTGCCGGATAATACCGGATAGTTTTTGGATATCCGGTGCATCTCTGATGATAATACATTTACAAACTTTAATATAGTATAAGTCTTCAATATACTATAAGTTCTTTAATATAGTATAAGTAAGAAACACAAAATAAGTGTAATAAGCCTTAAGCCTTAAGAGATTAATCAATCACAGTTGAAAAGAATGAGTATAAAATGAATAATCGATTCTGACTAATCAACTTTTTAAGGTTCAAGGCTTACTACACATATTGATTTCGGGACTTTAGGACAAAGCAAATAAGAAAGAGAAAACATTTTTAGATTTAATAGTTATATGTGGCATACATTAGACTTAAGTGAGTATATTATATAAAAATGTTATTGATTAATACTGGCTTATAGATTGATGAAGTAGCAAATCCAGATAATTGGTTTATTGATTTCGTATTTTAAGATTTTCGATTTTATAAGATTTCCATAAAAATTAACTAAAATACATGATTATTTAACACTGCTTCTGAAATAGGAAAGTAAAAAAAAATAATTGAACGTAAAAAAAAGATTAATTTTAACAATAAACTTATTGCATTTTTTATTAATGTAATTTGTAATCGTGAAGTGCAATCTCACGGAATGCTTTCACTATAAGAATCAGTTGTACATTATGCAAATAGGAAATAAATATTTATTATTCATTAACTCTCTCTTTCGAAGATTATTCTAAAACTAAGAAAAATTTCGACTAAGACAAAGAAATTTAATATTTCATATTTTAACTTTTTTAGTATCAGAAATATCACCATGGAAAAGGATAACGAAATAGTTCAGTGTATCTTTGTAAATACGTACTTACTTAATATTTATAATGTCAAAAAAATAATATATAATGTATCATTTCATTTTGTTTTTATTAAAATATCAGTTTTTGTAGAAGTGTAACAATCAAAAACTATATATATGTATATATATGTATATTCGTACATATTTACAAAAATAAATAACTAATAATATGGACAAATATATATTTTATGGAGCAAAGATGCACATTTTATCTTTTTCATGTAAGTAATAGTTCCAAATTTGTTAGCGTTTAAATTAATTCGTAGAGAATCCTAACTTGAATACAAAGCATATAATATTGCGCTTCATGTATTCGAGGGGCCTTTATAACTAGGTGAACGAAAATTCGCTCAGTTATCCCTTTGAAGCCGAGCAAAAGGGTACTTCATAACTCCAAATTCTCCTATAAATTGTTATATATATGGAGTCTACGATAAAAAACAAGTAAATTTTATCTGAAATATTTCTTTAAAAAATGCTTCGATCAAAAGTTTTAAACATTAAGTTTTACTCTCGTTTGGAAGGCGAAAAATGACATGATTTTCAGGATTTTTTAAAAAAGAAATGAGTTAATATATTAATATGAAATTTTCTTAGACTTTATTTATGCAAAATAGGTATATAAAAACATTTTTTCATGTTCATATAGTAGTAGTAGTAATGCAGGTAGGGCTATAGTAGCCGCCTAACATGCCCTAGATCTCTAAAGTTCCATTGTCACTCCCTGTTTGTTTTCAAAGTAGTGCAACCAAGCCCAATCCTGCTCTGTGTACCAGGCTTATGAGGTCCCCTATCTTTGTTTCGTCTAGATCCTCAGGTGTTAGAAACACATGGCCCCAAAATCTATATCTCTTATAGACAAGCATAGGACAAGCATAGGACAGCGACACAAAAGGTGCACGCTGTCCTTGCTTTCCTCTCCACATAGTCGGCAGTTTTTCTTCTCGACCAGTCCTATATTGAATAGGTGTGCTCTGAGGGGCAAGTGTTCTGTAAGAAGGCCTATGCCCATTCTTAGTTTTTCTCTTCCCATTGCTGCCAGCTCTTTTGTTCTGGCCAGATTGAATTATTCCATAAACTTCTTGGCTCGCCAGCAACCCTTTGTTTCTTTTCAGGAGTTTAAGTGTTCGCTCCAGCATTTCTTTAATTTTTTTTTTTACCTATAGCACGAAGGGAACTCCAACGGTCTGTTCAGTCGGGTCCATTTCTGTCCCCAGCTTTGCTAGCCCGTCCGCCCTCCCGTTGCCCAGTATTCCCTGGTGATCAGGGACCCATACTAAGGTAACTAGACTTGTTTCCCATAGTTTGTCGAGGGCTTGTATACAGTCCCAAACTACAAACAATTCTGTAGAGGTTTTTGCAAGTGTATTTATAGCTGCTCTGCTATCCGAGCAGATGCAGATACATTTCATGATTCTTCTATCGATCAGGAGTTTTGCATCTTGAGACGGTAAGTATCTCAGCTTGAAAAACCGTGGACAGCCTTTCCATTGATATGCTTTCTTCATGATTGGCGTTGGGGCCGTAGATGCCTGCCCCAAAACGATCATTTGCTCCCGATCCATCCGTGCACCATACGTCCACGTTTGGATTGGTTAGGAAGTTGGGATCTTGCCAGTCCTCCCTAGCTGGTATTCGAATCTTAAAGGTCTTTTCCGGTAGGTGTTTCCTGTCTTGCTTCAGGGTGAAGGGGGGCCTGTTGGACAGACTAGTGTGGCCAAGTTTGGTTTCCTTCCACTCCCATTGACACTTGTGTAATGGGAGAGAGAATGAGAGGGAGATTGGCCGTCTTCCACGATCTCTCTCTCATTATTGTCGATCACATTTGATACATTATTTAGATACGGATCGCGTAGTCCATTCTCTATGTCTTTGGCACACACCATAGGTTTGTTCGCGTCGCACGCTCCAATATGTTCCTGTTCATTCCAACGCGCTCCAATACGTTCGCGTCACCAGAACCAATATGGCGACTAGATGTTTGCGTCGCGTTAGAGCATACTCCATGGATCCACCTCAGAAGATGCGGTTGGGGCATGTTACGCACGCATGCGTAATGATTGAGAATGTGTAGTGTTGAGAGAAGTATTTCATGGTTCTTACAGATATCTTAACCTATGTTCTATAGTCAACTTTAACGGGAGTAGCGTTCAATTGAACAATTAATCTCGGTCCATGAGGCAGAGCAACGCTTTTTTTCTGGAGGACGCTTGTCCCAACTTGTCCTAAATCCGTTCGTGTCACCGAGCGTTGGGGCACATGAATCCAACTGCTCCAACCGCCATCTTACCGGTGATCCAAGTACTCTCTGGGTTAATTTGGAGCAAGCGACGCGAACAAACCTCATGTTATCTCTTCCACCATGGGCCCGACTAATTTCATTAAAGCAACTGTAACTTCGTCAATAGTTTGAATATCGACCTCGCTCTGGTCTTAAAATGTTTCTAAAATATGTACCTTTTAAAATAAGAACAAAAATAATCAATTTTTTATACTTGAAAAACGTACGTTTAATAGTATCTCGTCGATGCCTACCAAAGACATAATAGAGAATGGACTGCGCGATCCGTATCTAAGTAATGTATCAAATGTGGTCGACAAAATGAGAGAGAGGGACCGTGGGAGACGGCCAATCTCCCTCTCATTCTCTCTCCCATTACACCATTGAACGGAAAGAGATAGAAATGGCCGTCTGCCACGATCCCTCTCTCTCATCCCTATCGACCATTTTGACATACGGATTGCGCAGTCCATTCTCTACGCTTTGATGCCTACATACATACGTACATTACGTACACGTCCGTTAATGTCCGCCGCCATTTGCAATTGCTCGCCATCGCTCGGTAAGGGCCCTGCAGCGCACGACAGGCACGGCACATGCGGTTGCATGCGGTTGCCGTTCCACGCCGTACGCCGTCCGCCTCTCACGAGCCTCATCTGTTGACGCAGTCTCGCGATGTTGCAGTCGTCACGAGTCGTCAGAACCCGCCGTCCGTTAACCGTCTGTCAAACGCTGCATGTAGGTGAGTGGTGACAGTGGTGACACTGGTGATAAGGCGTGCGTGCATGCGTTCGACTCGGCCCAGTCCAGTAACCAGTTTGGCCTCATGCTTTGCGTGCTCCGCAGTGCCCCGTGTAGAGTACGGTGCGTGCGTCGGTGCAGCTTGCACTGTGTGCGTATTCGTGTGACGCGCGTGCTTGTGCGCGCAGTGCGTTGAGCGCCCGAATCGTTACCCCTCCCTTTTATCTTACTCTTCTCTTCCCTCTTTCGCTCTCTCCGTCCATCTCTTCTCCATATCTCTTTCTTTCTTATCCCTAACCTAACCTAATCTAACCTATTCTTCTTTTGCGGCTCGAACGCTCGGCGGATCAGGTCGTGGCGCACGCGACGAATTATTCTAAATCATCGCCAAATAGGATTCCGCATCGGCCATTTGAAGTCACTTGGAGTAACTCACCGGCGCTGTTTCATCGACGGTTAGCGTGCATCGAAGAAGTCGTTGAATCTTTTCCTCCCCTTTCTACTTGCCTTTGCACTGTTCGCCTTCGTGCAGCCATGGCCTCCTCCAACCGTGGCATTCAGATCGGATCCGGTTGGTTCCAGACCAAAATTAATCTTAGACCACAGCACCGGGGCGTTCATCTAGTCACCGAGGAGATTCTCAGGCAGGTACCTGAGCTCTGCCAGTTTTCCATTGGTCTCTGCCATATCCAAAGTGAGTACTTGACTATCTGACCTGTACTTGCTTTCATAGATTAACAGATCGAGTTTTAATTTTAATATTCACATTTATTGCGATATATATAATACATATATTATAAAAAGGAACGAACAAGATATTTCTCTGTAATGCGATAAACATTAGATTTGTTTTTTTTTCCTGTAGTTCTGCACACCTCAGCTAGTTTAGCATTAAATGAGAGCTGGGATCCAGATGTGAGAGACGATATGGAAATGATGCTTAACAAAATAGTCCCTGAAGGTTTGGAGTACAGGCATAGCTGCGAAGGACCTGACGATATGGTAAGTATAATGCTTCTGAAAATATTTCTTTTAAAAAGTAATATTATACTTTCAAAGTCACATACTACTGAACGAATAACCTTGTATAAACCCAAATTTGTTTGTAGGAAATAACCCCATGTTAAAACTAATGTTATTGTCTTTCTCTTATTGTGTTGGTAGATAGTTTTGAAATAATGATGCATATGTTTTGCCAAATTATATAGATTGATTCGGTCAAAAATTTTTGCAGAAGAGAATCAATTCTGTAATGTTGATTATATATAAATATATATATACACACGCACATTGTACACTCACGAATAAGGTGACTAAAAAAAGGTATAGAATATTTCTCGATACTGAATATTTCTGAATATTTCACAGCCGGCGCATGTGAAGGCTTGTTTCCTGGGCTCATCATTGAGCATCCCAATCACCGACGGCAAGTTGGCACTGGGAACATGGCAGGGCATTTGGTTAGGTGAACATCGCGATCACGCTGGTAGTCGTAAGCTAGTAGTAACATTGACTGGTGTCCTGCGGGATTCGGCGCGCAGTCCCTTGAGCCCAGTTAGCCCTATCGCGTCTACCAGCAGCTAGGACCACTCGCACCCCCGAAGGCGTGGCAAGCGTCAGCCGCGTGCGTCCACCTCAAGCGACTCGAGCTAGCAGCCGCTTTAAGTCCTAGTCAACTTCTAAGAGTACAATCTATTGAGGAGGAATGAGCCGAATACCTCGCGGACTTACCTATCGCTCGGGGATAACCACCGTCAGTAGCGATCAACCGTGTCCTCGATGTTTCGTGTCATTCATCGAGTGAACAGACCGGAGATCGTGCATCGTTCAAGACTTGTGTGCGCGCGTGTATGTGCTTTAGGATTTTATTTGTGTCTCCGATATTGTTTTGCATGAACATTCTTCTTCATTCATGTGATGATGAGCCATTGGGATTGTCTGTCACCAAAAGTCGGCAAAAGTTTCCTAGACAGAGGAATCCATGGGACGACCTAAGGTTTTCAACCTGGATGTTACCCTTACAACTCAGCAACTCACATTTTAAGGGAACTTTTCTTAAATGGTCACATTAAGATATAAAAAAATTTGCATTTGGCATTTGAAGATACAAAAGACTATCTTTTAAAGCTGTTTCTATATATTCCGAAAATTTGGAAGCTAAAATCTTTGCAACAACTCAGAATGCTTCCCTTGTTCTTCATTTCTGGCATTTTGTTTAGCTTGTATATTTGTCACGTTGGACATTCACAACATACAATAATAATAATAGTAATAATAATAATAATAAAATAGATGGATATGAAGAGATAGAGAAAACAGAGATGAAGAAAAAACTGCCACGGCAGATGCGTGCATTGCACGTGTCTCATGTAAACAAAACGAATTAAACGCGAATATCCAGCACTCTTCCGCTTTGTTCTTGAAGAGAGAAGAAAGTAAAAAGCGAGACACTCTAAGGAAAGCAATTTGAGAAAAAAGAGAAATGAAGGGAAAGAACACACAAATTTATGCATTCCGGAAACGCGTCCAATACTCCGAATTTACGTAGCTTTATTTAGGAAATCTTTTGTATAAACAAAGTTAACGAATATGAGCAGCCGTGCAAGAACTCACAGTATCCTTTTTTACACTCTGCTATCTTTGAGCTGTCCGAAAACGAGAGACAAAGGAGAGGGATTTTAAAAAAGCAAGATCAACAAGAGTGAGAGAGTGTAAGGTACGCGTTGCGCACTTTCTAAACCGCTTTAAAAATGATTAGGAGCTCTAAATTAATTGCTCGTGAATACTGATGTTTCCATCGCATTGGAGGTGTGTGTATATGTATATAAGGGGAGAAGGGGCTATGATACTCTTACCTGTGCGCGTTTCCGCTATAAAGTTATAGGATATGTTATATTTCATGGGCACACATAGCGCGATTATACAGTCTTATGTGAATTATAGCGCATATGCAGAGTGCGCAAAAAATTTAAGTATATAAATACTACAAGAGAAAAATTGGCGAAAAACTAAGTAATAACAAGTTATAACAAGTGATACTTTTTTTCGAGTAACAATTTTTTTGATACAACAGTTCAGAGATTTTATCAATCGTGAACTGCAGTAAGAGTCACCTCTGAATCATGCGTTAAATAGTGCTAATGATTGCTAAAAATTATACATTGATATCGTACATCTCATTCGACTCTTTAGCAACTTATGATTTGATCAAATTATATGTCTATATTCAAAAATTATTACTTAATATTGCATGTACTTCTTGTTACTTAAATCCTTGCAAATTTTTCTGCTAAAGGCAAGTTCGAATTTTATACCATTCTGTATAATATTTCAATTAAAGCAACATTGCTATGTTGCATTGCTCGAAAAATCGATTGCATCAACGTCGATCATATTTTCTTTTGTTATATTACAGCTACCATAATATACTGCCCTATTGAGTTACGAAAAACTCAATCATTTTATTATTTTCCGACATTAAAATATTTGCAAATTGCGAAATTGTTTTGCGTTACAAGATACAATTTATTAAAATATTAAAGACATTTTTTTAAGGCTCATTCACTCCAGCCATATTAAATCGTGACGTCATAAGCGAGAAATGTGTCATAAGCAACACATTGATTTTTTTTGCATGCCATTTGTAAATAAAGAGAATTTGGATGAAATGAAATGATGAGACAAAAACTCCTTATCTCCCTTGACGGTCAGTAAATAGTCGTAAAGTGCGTTTACTAGTTTTTACTCAATGCGCATGCGTAGCCTATTTTCACTTCACGAGCCTTTTTCGACTCTTTACTGACTATTAGGGGAGATAAGGAGAGTCTTTGTCCATTTTTACAAGCATTTTAAAACGATCTCATTTCGTCTCATCCAAATTCTCTTTATTTACAAATGGTATGAAAGAAAAATCAATGTGTCATTTTTCGCTTATGACATCACGATTCAATATGACTGAAGTGACTACTCAGGAACCTTAATAAAGAATCGGCACAATGAACTCTCGACTATCAAAAAGATCACTTGTTCTAGGGGTCAGAAGTACCTAAGATATCGTTTTTAAAAGATCCAGCACTGCGATGAATTGTAATGTTGGATCGTCGCAAAGATAGCGCGGTTTCAGGAGAGTTTGAATTTTTGGCCTTTGGTCTCTTGGAAATGTAAAAAGTTCTAGTCATTTTCAGCCCTTGAGGCTTCGAGTCTTTGAATAAGTATGCATGATTCTTGTATTTTCTTTTTCGCTCTAAAGATTATCGGAAAGAAAAAAACCGAAGGGGTCTTCGCGACGAACCGACAGAGCTACTTACACTTACATGATGTTATTAACTGCTACTTACTACGAGCTTGCTGCAGCAAACGGGCTGGCAGACAGGCAGAACAGACGTTGTCGTTGTTTAGTCGTTAATTCTCAACGTGTATAAGCGTGTAAGAAGAAAAATACGCGTCGTCCATTAAATAATTAAGGCTACGGTCTCCTTCATACTACAAATGCTTCGAAGCATTTTTTGATTGATCAATCAATAAAATTCTTTTTCCGATTGGTCAATCAAATACTTCGAAAGATTTGTAGTGCCAAGAGAACTGCACCCTAAATGGACCTATGCTTTATTAACCCTTTTTACACCGAGCACTCGATACGCGTATTAACTTGTAACTTTCTATCAAATTATCTTAATTTTAGCAATATATTTAAAGAATAATGTACTAAATTGGTAAAGTATGCATCAATGAAAAATTAAATACACATATCATGTATATGTTTACACGTAATGTATCGCTGAAATTAAGACAATTCAATAGAAAGATATTACTTGGTATCAAGTGTACGACGTAAACTAGGTCAATGTAAAGTACGTCTCTTGCTACAGTCCACTTAATGCTATAAGTGTCAATATAATAAAAATATAATAGTATAAGTGTTGGTCAATCAACAAAATTCTTCTGATTGGTCAATCAAATGCTTCGAAGCATCCTTGTAGCATTAAATGGATCGTACCCTCTATCTATACAGTTCACATAGCTTAAAAAACATTATCGGAGCTCAAAATGTAATATAATGGCTGCGTTCAGCAGAGAAAACTATAACCAGTTAGCGCTTAGTGATTCCTTAATATGATTGGTTTTTGCCAGGGTTTGAAAAAACCTAGATTTTATTAGGTTTTATGTATTTTTGTTTTTTTTTGGTGGGTCCAATCCAATAAAACTTACCAGGTTTTATTGGGTTGGGTCCACCTCGTCAAACCCTGGTTCTTGCCTTTAGTTCTTCACTGGATTTAAGTGTAGAAATTAATCATATTAAAGAATCGCTAAGCGCGCTAACTGATTAGGTTCCTCTGTTGAACGCAACCAATGCAATGTGATGTAATGGTACACTGTCGAGGTTATCGTACGTCGCCCCTTTGAACATACGCAACACGAGGGCATGGGGAGAAGACTCATGCACAAAAGAGAAAATGAAATGCGTTATCTTCGGTCCTCTCTGCTCCTAGTGTGACCTCACAATTGCGACTTTAGGTTCATTCAATAATTAACCAGTTCGTGGTTTAAGACAAGGTGATTAGCGATTTTAATCTGTACACATGCATATTGTAAATATAATAACGGTTTGCTCGACTCAAAATGAGGATGCATTCTCGAGATTTTAGGAGGTATGTTATATATTCAACGTGATCTGTAGGGAGCCATGGATTTCAAATTTGGATTTTATTTGGCTTTTTGAATCGTGTTTTTAAAATCTTAAATTTCTGTCGTTATATTTCAGGTTTTTTTTTCTTTTTTTTAGAAAATTATATCCTGGAATTTTCGCTGCAATTTCTCGAATCTTTAGAATTTTAAGTTATGCCGACTTGAATTTTCAGGTTTTCGCAAATAATTTAGTTAAATACTATTAAAATACTATTTTTAATTCTCTTTGTGTAGACAACTCTTGGGAATCTCTGGAAATTTTGTTTATGGGATTTTTGTTTCTAAAGTTCTTAAAAAAAAAAAAAAAAAAAAAACATTCTCGGAGTTCGGGCTCCTTCTGACGCATTGTAAAAGCTATAAGAATCACCGATCACTTGTTGTATATGCCAAAAATGAATTTACCGTGAAAGAGATAAAAAAATTCGTTTCTAAGCGTAGGCTTCTGCTTGCGCGCAGCGAATGCGGATCTAATTATTGCAACGCATGCAGGCTCCGTCATTCCCTCTTTGCACTCTTGCGTAAGTAAAAATATTTTCTACCGTTTAGAAATAAAGAACTGTTACAACACAAACGTGTATAGCATGTTTATATATCTATATATATATATATATACGACATTACCAATTATTGCCGTTTTACGTATAAAATGTTAAGATAAAACTATTCGAAAGGGAAGACTTTAAAACAGGCTTGTCCAAAACTCAGTTCGCCAGCTAAACGTGCCCATCTCTCCATCATTTTGTTGAGCGATACAAAGAAAGTTAAAAGAACACTTTTGCTTAATGATTGATTGCTCTGTCTTTTTTGTTTTCTATCTTTTTTTCTGTCTTTTTTAACAAATTACGATGGAGAGGTGCGAGAGATGGAAGCATGGTGGAAGAGGTAACAGCGCTTTGACACCGAACGCTAATTGGTGAAAAGCCGGTTGTGGGGGTAAAATTTACCCCCATCATCCGTTTTTTACTTGTCGCCGTGTGTAAGAAAGTGTCTAGGAATCATGGTGGAAATATATAAGGTGAAACATTACGCATAAGGGCTGCCGCAGACAAAATTTCTGTAATAGTAACCTTAAGAGATGAACTTAAGCCAATGAGCCAATCAGGATACTGCTTTAGATCTACGTACTCTAACAAAAATATAAACAGCAGTAAACTTATCCATAAGACGAGTTTCAACCGGTTGAAATTCGCCTTATTGCAAGTTATGGATAAGTTTACTGTTATTTCCATTTCCGTTAGATTATGTAGACTTAAAGCAATATCCTGATTGGCTCATCGGCTTGAGTTTACGTCTTACGGTCACTGTTGCGGAATTTCGTGTGCGGCAGCTCTAATGGCGGTAGCAATAGCCAATCAAATATGTCCGAATATGCACTTTTCTACTGCGCATCCATCAGGGTATCAATCATGAAACTTTATTCCCTAGGATGGAAAGTGAAAAGTGAAAATTTTAACCATTGAAGTTAATGGAGGAATTTTTTACTTTTTATCCTAGGAAAAAAGTTTCATGATCGATACCCATATTGCTTCACCTTATATATTTCCACCATGTCTAGGGATATTGCAATTGGAAAGCACCCAATAGTATCTCGTCGGTGGCTGTAGAGTCCTAGATTTATCAGAGAGACGCAACCGGTGTTATGCATTCTGATTCGCTGTTGCAATCTGACCAATTGCGTGACTTGGCAGCCATTTGTAGTACTAGTGACATATTTCTATTTCATTTTACATTCTATCTCACATTATCCTACACGTCTTATCTCGTTTGACATAGTTTAAAGGCAGTTTCATAGCACGTCGGCCATGTTTAGTACTCTCCTTAGCACCTTTGTCATACTGACTTAAGCCGGTTGCGCCTCTCTGATAAATCTAGGATTCTAGCCGTGACCAATAAGGAGCTAGGTGCATGATGGATCTGACTTCTTATTGGTCACCGCATACATCGAGTCAAACTTGAATTCCATGCAAATGTACCTTTAGACGGCGCGTTTCATGAGATTCGCCCATTCGCCTTCTTTGTGCCACGCGATTCATGGAGGTGCGTGTACTGTGCCGCTGACAATGAGCTGCGGCGGTGACTGTGATAAGTGATCCTAAGTGATCCGTATAAACCCATCTTCATCGCTGAACGCGAGCAGTGGCAGTGGAGAAAGCTCGCACGTCGGTTGCTGTTAGAGCACACCTCTTGATGACTCGCGCTTTACGTGAGCCGCAGGCAAGTCGGAGCTCGCAATTATGTTTGATGTACCGCAGAAGTTCTACGAGCTGTGTCGCCTTTGTTTATCCCTGGATGGTGTCAAGTATTCCATATTCAAGGAGGTGGGCACTCAGCAGAATTACGCTGAGAAGATATCGGCGTGTCTGTCGATCACAGTGAGTGCGTTGTTGTTCATGATTAATCCGCATTTTATTGCGATGCGACCATCTGTGCCATATACTCTCGACGCGGCCGTATACCGTGTATGCGTCTCTCCGCTCTCCGTTTGCGTCGTTCCCATCGTCGCCGTGATATTGCCCTCTCTCTCTCTCTCTCTTCCCCCCTCCCCCTTTCCGTCGCTCGCTCGCTCACTCACTCAGCTTTAGAGACGCTCTCGCGTGCGCGCGCGCGCGCGCGCACTCTACTGTGAGACTCGGAGTCGCTCCTATTAGCTGTTTCTCTCTAGCGCATACGATCGCGTTCGCGATCGCGCTCCCGCTTGTCCGACTTGGGCCGACTGCGTCACTGCATGAATGTGTGTATGTGCGCGTGCCACGAGAGAAAGTTTGGCAAGAGATGTGTCGGCGAGATAAGCCGACAAGCAGCAACGGCATTTAAAATGGCAGTGATAAGCCCCCCGCGCGAGCATGGCAAGCGAAGCTATAGCCG